AGAGAGAGAGAGAGAGAGAGAGAGAGAGAGAGAGAGAGAACAAACGAACGAACGAACGAACTGAGGTTTCAAAGCCAAGAAAAGAATGTGGTTATCTTTTCTAATCATTTTCCCTCAACTCAAATTTCCTTAGTGGACATTTTAAGTGGAAAAAAGGTGAAATGGGAGTGAGGAGTCCTGCTGTTAAAAACAGAGACAAAATTGCATGTAGGTGTTTGGAAAGAAAGCTACAGAAGGGACACATAACATTCTAGGTAATCCAACAATACAAACAGCTTATTTTCTATCTTTGGCACTGGAAAAGGTCTCTTCAGTGCTTAGTGGTACCTGTTGGCTTGCTATTTATTTATTTATTTATTTATTTATTTATTTTTCATGTTCTTTTTTTTTTTGAGACAGGGTTTTCTCTGTATAGTCCTGGCTGTCCTGGAACTCACTCTGTAGACCAGGCTGGCCTCAAACTCAGAAATCCACCTGCCTCTGCCTCCCAAGTGCTGGGATTAAAGGCGTTCGCCACCACTGCCTGGCTATTTTTCATGTTCTTAATTTTATTATTAATATTATTATTTTACCTTTCTTTTACAGTCCAATCATTATCCCCCTCCCAATCTGCCTTGACTATTCCTCTTCTCATATCTCCTCCCCTGTCTCCAAGAGGATGTTCCCACCCCCATCCCCACCTCAGCAGACCTCTCCACTCCCTGGGGCCTCAAGTCTCTCAAGGGTTAGGTGCATCTTCTCCCCCTGAGGTCAGAACAGGTACTTCTCTGTTGCATGTGTCAGGGGCCTTTGACCAGCTACTGTATGCTGCCTGGTTGGTGGCTCAGTGTCTGAGAGATCTCAGAGGTCCAGGTTAGTTGAGACCGCTGGTCTTCCTATGGGGTCGCCCTTCTCCTCAGCTTCTTCCAGCTTTTCCCTAATTCAACCACAGGGGTCAGCAGCTTCTGTCCATTGATTGGGTGTAAATGTCTGCATCTGACTCTTTCAGCTGCTTGTTGGGCCTCACAGAGGGCAGCCAGGCTAGGTACTTGTCTGTTAGCATAGCATCAGTAATAGTGTCAGGCCTTGAAGCCTCCCGTTGAGATGGTCTGGTCTCCCAAGTTGGTCTGGTCACTGGACCTCCTTTCGCTCAGTTTCTTTTCCATTTTTGTCCCTACAGTTCTTTTAGACAGGAACAATTCTGGGTCAGGGTTTTTGACTGTGGGATGGCAACCCCATCTCTCCGCCTGATGACCTGTCTTTCTACTGGAGTTGGGCTCTACATGTTCCCTCTCCCCACTATAGGACATTTCATCTAAGGTCCCTCCCTTTGAGTCCTGAGAGTCTCTCACCTCCCAGGTCTCTGGCGCATTCTGGAGAGTCCCCTTACCTCTTACCTCCTGAGGTCTCCTGTTTCCATTCTTTCTGCTGGCCTTTTCCTTCACCCAATGCCTGATTATGTTCTCCTTTTTTCCTCCCTGAACCCTCTCCCACACAGGTCCCTCAATCCCTCTGCCCCCCCTCCCCATGATTGCTTTTTTTTCTCATCACTTGGAGTCCTGTTATAAGACTTCATTAACTGCTGCCCACTGCAAAAAGAAGCCTCTCGGATCAAGGTTGAAGGCAGGCCAGGTTTATGAGGTTTAAACAAATATTTGGAAGGTAATTTGACCGTGACCATTTAGCAAAGGTTATACTCTAGGGCCTATGACCTTCCAAGTCATGGACTTTTGAGAAGGCTGTAGTAAGGGTTATGAGATTTCTTCCTGTGGAGCAGACCTCAAGTTCAATCATAAACCTGCTAGTTACCCCATAACAGTCATGCTACCTTTCTATCTGTAGGCACATCTTGCCTAACAGGAGGATATTGTAGCATGCAGGGCCCAGCACTGGATAAGATCATTAATCGTTTTCCTCCCCCAGCAGCCTGTATAGCACCTTCCACTACTGTGAAAATTAACCAGCAGGCAGAATGTTTTCCAGGTGGTTTGAAATTGATTTCTTTATATCATACAGCCAATGTGCACTGTGTTTCCCCCAATACTGACTTACCTGTAGTTATGATGAGTAACCGACGGTAATGGAAATAGATTGTGTTGTTTTGGATACCTCTGGTGCTCCTGGACCAATAACTCATAGGGAGCTATCTCATGCCTTGCAATTAAATTTTTAATAATAAGCCATGTGTTCTGGGAATGATATCATCTATCCATGTAGGGTAATTCCATTCTGTTTCTTTTTCTTTAATCAATTAATTTGTACTTATTCATTTTATATCCCACTCCCTGACCCCCTCCTAGTCAACCCCTCTCACAATCCTCCTCCTCCAATCCTCTTCTCCGCTGAGTGGGACATCCCCCTTTTAGCCCTCCCCCTCCCTGGAACTTCAAGTCTTTGTGAGGCTAGGCACTTCCTCTCCCATTGAGGACAGAGAGAGCAGCCCAGCTAGAAGAACATATCTCACATAACTCAACTTAATTCATACAACTGTAATATTGATGAATTCCTTGAGAGTTTTATAAAACATATTTTGATCATTCCTCTAAATTTCCCCCAGATCTACCCACCCTTCTTTCAAACGTGTGACCTCTGTTTTTTTTTTTTCCTTAAAAAAACCCACTAAAGTCCAATTTGTACTACTGAGTATATCTAATGGAAAGTACGCCATCCACTGGGGCATGGTCACCTACCAGGGGTCACTATACTACAGAAACAAGAATTTCCCTACTGCAGAAGCTGTTGACTGGTAATAGCTCTTCTATTATATGTGGGAACTTATAAACCCTTCCTCCATTCATGATAGAATGCTGATTGGCTTGATCTTGTGTACTTCAGGGACTGTGAGTTCACAAGTGGGCCGCAGTAATCCTGTCATGTCCTGAAGACACTGTCTCTTTCCAATACACTCTGACCTCTGACCCTTAAAATATTTCCACCCTCTCTCCCATGATGGCCCCAGAGCCTTGGGGGTGGAAGGGCTGCTGATATAGATATTCCATTTGTGGAATACACAGCACACAAGCTCTGCATTTTTGATTGGTTGTGAGTTTCTATGTTAATTACTATTTACTACACAAAGAAACTTCTCTGACGAAGTCTAAAGGCAGCACTAATCAATGGTTATAGTTCTACAGATTTAGACGATTTGTCCATTTAGCTATTATAAGAGGTTGTTGGTTACTTCCATAGTATCCACTCCACTATTGTGCCCATGGGCATATCTTGCCATGCCAGTCACTTTAGTTGATTGAGTTCACAGCCAAATACAACTGCTTATTACATATTGCCCCGATAGCCTTTTGGAGTCATGAAATACCTTTTGGAAACATGAGAGCTAACAGGCATGGTGGGAGCTTCCTGGTCAGTACCAACTTGACTCCTCCATGTCCACTGAGCAATGTGTGTGTTGTCTACTGCAATAGGGTCGCTCCATCAAGTTATAGTGGGTAACCAGAAATGATGGCACCCTGTACTCTTTTGGGAGTCTCTGAGACATCCTTGACTAACAACCAGAGGGGAAGTATCTCACATCCACACTTGACAAAAGCCTTTTTTATTTTGGCAGTCTTTGGCTTCTAGGAGAAGTATTATCCCAGTATAATCTATATAAGTATAACTTTAATTATATAAGTATTGATTCTTCCCACCTAAATGTCCCTCCCCTTTATTTTCCTGTCATTGTCATAACATTTGTGTTGTATTATCCTCCCTCCCTGATGATCTTTCTTCCCCATCCCCACCAATGTTCCCTTTCTACTTTTCTAGATTCCACAGATAACATACATTAAACACACAAATCTAAAAATTTCATGTTAAGATGCAGATGCTCGCAGCCAACCATCAGACTGAGCACAGGGACCCCAATGGAGGAGTTAGGGGAAGGACTGAAGGAGCTGAAGGGGCCTTATCTGACATCATTGGAAGGAGAGGCCCTTGGTCCTGTGGAGGCTCAATGCCCCAAGTGTAGAGGAATGCCAGGGCAGGGAGGTGGGAGTGGGTAGGTGGGTGGGGGAGCACTTTCATAGAAGCAGGTAAGGGGTGATGAGATAGGGAGTTTGCAGAGGGGAAACCAGGAAAGGGAAAAACATTTGAAATGTAAATAAATAAAATATCCAATTAAATAAAAGGAATAGTACTTGGAGAAAAGTAGAAATAAAAGATAGCCAGATCTTGACACCATAAAAAAAGATCCACATTTCCAATTTTTGAATCTCTGATTCTTTGTTACTTCAGTCAGTTATTTTCTTTCTTACGAAATAAAATTCCATTGTGCCAAGGTATCAAATTTCCATTATCCACTCATCAATAGATATACATCAAGATGAAGTCCATTCCTTGGCTATTGTGCTTTGAATGAGAAATGTTCCCCCATAGACTCAAGTATTTAAACACTTGGTTCCAGGTTGATATTTCCGAGGATGTTAAAACACTTAAACACCAGTGGGTGTTTCTGAAAATGTCAAGGAGCCTTTAGGAAGAACAGTATTGCTGAATAAAGAATGTCACTGTGAGCAGACTTTGAGGGTTTAAAGTATTACTCCATTTCCTGCTCACCCTTCTCTGCTCCTTGTGTGTGACTAAGATGTGTTCTTTGAGCTTCCTGCTCCTGATTTTCCCACCATTATGGACATTTAGCTCTCTCAAACCATAATCCAAGATAAAAATGTTTTCTTAAGTTGCTTTTGGTCATGTTATTCTATGACAACAACAGAAAAACAATATACTAGTTATTGTAATGAGCGCAGCTATGAACTTAGATGAGCATATGTCTCTGTAGTAGGAATAGAGTCCTTTGAGTATACACCCAAAC